ATTCTCATGTCTCATCAGAATTTAAACAAAACTAATAAAACACCCTTTGTCCTTCACAGGCATTTTTCAGGTCCCCATTGAAGACAAGTCTTTTAAGATGCAATGGAACACAAGTGTATGTACTATTGAAAAGGTTTTGTCAAAACTACTTTGCTGCATTATTAGTCTAGTCATTGTTTGGTAATAAAATTAGGCCTGCCACTCTGACCCTCCACCTGTCCCAATCTAAGGGGAAATTAACCTTTCCTTGCCTTGCCTCTCCTCCTGTCCTTTGCCCTTCCAATCCCATTCCCCTTTCCTTTCTTCCCATTTATACATTTTATTTTTTATTTAATTGCTTTCCTGGGGGTGGATGCTAGGGGGAGATGGTTCTGGTTGGGTTGTTTTTTGTTTTTTGTTTTTGTCCTTTTTAGGTAGGGTCTTACTATGTAGCACAGTCGGTTATTGACTGCAACTCTCCTGCCTCCATCTTCTTCTTCCAGGGGTCACAGCACTCCACCAAGGCCCTTCAGCTACTTGTCTTTTCAAGGCACCCTGCTCCTATGGGCACCAGAGACCCAAGTGTGACCCACCCACTCTCCGATCCATGTCTCCTGCACTACTCCTTACTTCCCAGCAGGCATGAGCTCTGCCAGGCCTGCTGCCCTACCAAGTCCATAGCAGCCTACTCAATGCATCCACCTCCTCTTGGATCAAGCAGCACCCTTGGCTCTCAGCCCTTGGGCCACTTTGGGCAGAGGAATCTGGAGGGGACAGAAGGGCAGGGGCTCCAGGACACAGGAAAGCACAGACTTCAGTCTCTCTGAGCATATCAGGATCATAGTGCAACCCATCTGGCCAGGCTCTTGGCATGGCCAGGCAGATTCAAGTGCTCAAGTTCCTGCCTATCCCAGCCCTAGCTGTGGCTTGGCCCACAGCAACTTGTATCTAAGGATAAAAGGTGGGTGGAAAAGGTTGTCCCCAGTCCACCTGGCTGGAGTCAATGAAGAGAGAACACAGGGAGGGGGTGTGGAACTTTCCACAAGATGCCTAGAACTTGCCAGGGTTCCCAGGGCTCAGTGAGAACTGAGCTTCTGTACAGGAAGACATGTCAGGGTGTGAAAGAGTGCCCCATGCAGAATGTCACCGTGTCCTCCAACAGGTGCTTTCTACAGCCTGCGGAAGCAGTCCTTGAGGTCTTGAACTCCTCGGTTTGCAGGTCCCAGGACCAGCCTCCAGGCTAGCCTAACCTAGAAAGAGGAAAACTTTGGCCTCTGAAAGCAGAATATGGCCAGCCAGGGAAGGCTACACCAACTGAGCAACATACCTGATCACCTGAAGGGAGTGGGTACTAGGGCTCAGAGGGAGTACCTCACTACCCACAGGGACCCCAGAGCAAGCCTGGTAAGGGAGGCTGGGAGACACTTGAGGAGTACTTGTCTTCCCACCTGGACTACCTGCCACCACCTGACAGAGAAGAGACAAGACAGACAGGGACTATGCTGGGCAGTACCTCAGCCTCTTTCTGCCATCTGGTGGTAACAAGGCAGAAAGACATGAGCATATGACAAATGGGGACAGGAAGGCAGCCATTGCTACCATCATGTATGAGTTAGGTTTGGCCACCAAGTGGCCCTACCCCACATCAGTCTGAGGGAGTCATCCATTATGCCCTAAAGCTCTTGATCCTGCCTCTGCCACCTCCCCCTGGGCAAGGTTTCAACCACTCTCTCCAAGCTGGACCTACGTCACCAAGCTGAAGAGGTGGTCGGACTGTTTAAGGCCCACAGTCACAAGGGACACCATCACACTGCAGAGCCCCAGTCTCCATTATACAACCAGTCTGACCCACTTAGGTGAGCAGAGGGAGGACTTTGGGATTTGGGGTGAGTAGGCAAGGGCAGAGGAATCCTGAGGATGGAACAACTGAGACTCTCATTCCAACCTTTGGTCTACAGAGGACCCCAAAGAACATGCTAGAGGAAGATAAGGGCTGAAGCCTGTGCCAGCCAGGAAGCCTGTCTCCCAGGAAGAGATTTCACACAGTGCTAACAACTTATGGGATCATCTTGCAGGAGAGACTGGAGCAGAGACAAGGACGGGTCAGTGGTGGGTGGGGCCACACCTTGACCCAGACTGCTTAGTCATGTATACCTCTTATCCTCATTTTAAACCAAACTTTATATTAGTACCCTAAAGATGGGCTTGGAGGAACCACTGGATCCCTTCATTTGTTCCTCTCTCAATGTGGCCACACTGAATAATTCTCTTTTCTCTGCTTTTCATTATTACCCATATCTTTAATTAGTATATTGGACACCAATGGCCAAGCCTACCTTGTTGGGGCTTCCAAGGTCAAGTCTATTACCCTAAAAACTCTGATAACATCAGGAGCCCTTTAAAAGTCTAGAACACGACACTGGAAAAGCTGACAGCAAGATGCCTAAAGGAGACAGACCCGAAATGAAGGCAGAGAAGCCAGGCTTTCACCCCCGCTTTAGTTATCTTGTGGGCCCAGTGAGCCAATGTAAGAGCAGTTTCTCAATGCCTGCTGCATAGTCATGGCCAAAAAAGTTCCACTTGTTTCAGACAGGGTCTCATGGGGTCCAGGATGACCTTCAACTCTCAGACATTCTGCCCACCGTCCCTCTTCCAGCACCCAAGAGCCGGGATTATAGGTGTGCACACCAAATTGCTTTTCTAAGCCAGGTTAAATATTCTCATCTGAACAAACAGCATAGCAGTGCTTAGGGGACTCGCTCTCATAAGCCTCAGGGACAAGGCAGGGGGATAATACAGGCACTAGTGCTATCTTGCCTGTCTGGCCTGCCTAGTCTGGCACTGATGGGGTTAGGGGACCATGCTCCTCACCTTGTCAGTTTCTTTCTATCCAGTGCTTGACATCAGACCCCCAGGCTCCCTAGAAGTGCTGCATGGGAACAAAGGGCAGGGATGGGAGCTGTCAAGAGCCCAGGACCCAGGAGCTCAGGTCATTCCCTCCTTCCAGTGTGGGCAACCCTCCCATGCCCAAGTAATTATGGTCCCAAGCATCCTAAACAAAGGGCTCCAATGGGGAGAATCTTTATCCAGGGACCCAGAAAATCCATCAAAGGCTCTGCCACCCCCTGTAGGATGTAGGAGGTAAGAACCTACTGGTCAAACAATAAATTTGTAGTTCTTGAGGACTTCCGGGGTTTCAGGCCTTGAGGACTGACCCTTATGAGTTGGCTTGGGACCCCACTTCCTGTTACCCTAATAACACCAGAAAGGTAAACAGCAGCTTTGTTACTCACTAGGATTTAAATGACCATGTAGGGGTTGGAGGGTTGGCTCAAGGCTTAGGGTTAAAAGCACCTCTTGCTTTTCCAGAGGCCCAAGTTCGGTTCTCAGCAACCACATCAGGTGACTGTAATTCCTCTTCCAGGGGGTCTGAAGCCGTCTTCTGTCCTCTGAGGGCTACTGCATGCACATGGGGGCACATACACGCACACACACAGGCAAATACACACCCACATACATAAGATAAATAATATGTATCTTTAATTAAAACTAATGTCTGGTGTTAGAAAACCTGCAGGGAATTTTTCCTGGGTACAGAAAATGCTATGGCCCTCTGTGCTAAGCACCCAAGAGTACTCTTAAAGTGAAGTCAAATACAGCCATGCTCGAAGGAGATGTAGGGGAGGATACCAGTAACTAACTCTGTGGCTAGCTCTGTCCTCTGATCTTCAGGCAAATTTTATTTCTTAGATTACATAATACACCACCACAGTTCTGTCTCCTTATTTGGGTACTGGTTATATGATGACATGGGGGAGTACAGTTTATGAAGTTTTGCCTTCACACTTATGTGCAATTTCCAGTATGTGCATCATATTTCAGTAGGGTCTCATTTATTTTCATTAATATATTTTTTGGTTTTGTGTATGGATTTTTTTTTTTTTTTTTTTTTTTTGGTTTTTCGAGACAGGGTTTCTCTGTGTAGCTTTGCGCCTCTCCTGGAACTCACTTGGTAGCCCAGGCTGGCCTCGAACTCACAGAGATCCGCCTGGCTCTGCCTCCCGAGTGCTGGGATTAAAGGCGTGCGCCACCACCGCCCGGCTTGTGTATGGATTTTTATTTTGGGGTTTTGTTTTATTGTTTTTGTTTTTGGTGTGCGTGTCTGTGTGCACATGCGTGCATGCATGAGCCTACACCAGTGTGCACGTGGGTGTCAGAGGTCATCTTTTGCCAGATGTCTTCGCATTCCACTTCCTGCTCCTACCTGAATCTTACTGCACTAGGAGCTCACAGATTAGTTAGGCTAAGGGGTTTGTAAACTCTGGGGATTCACCTGTCTCTATCCACACACACCCCTCAGTTCAGCGTTTTACATGGGTGCTGGGTACCTAAACTTGGTTGGGTCCTCAGGCTTGCCCTGCAGACGTTTTACCGACTGAGACATTCTCTCAAAACTGGATTTAGGTTTCCTTCCCTTTTCGTTAAAAATTTATTTATTTACTTATTTGTATATGTGTGATGGATGTGAGGGTATACTTGTGCCACGGTGTGTATGTGGAGGTCGAGAACAATTTCTGTGACTTGGTTCTCTCCTTCCACCTTCATATGCGGGTTCCGGGATCGAACTCGGGTGCTTCTGTAGGCCATCTGGGCAGTTTTAAGTTTTGGGGGACAAGGTCTCACTCTGTAGTCCAGGCTGGCTTGAACAACTCCGATCCTCTTGTCTCACAGTCTCTCAAGTGTTGGTATTACAGGTGCGTGCCCTCACGCTCTAGGAATTCAGTAAGATTTTAGAAAACATTTTGCCATGCACTCCATAGCTGTTTATAACGGTATTGCTCACAGAGGAAATCATGGAACCCACCTGAATACTCCCAGCACGTGGGATCCCGCCTCCAACTTAAATTAATGAAATTATTTCCACCCCTTTCTTCCTGCCTTGATAGGCAGGTTGTTTCTGGAAGGGGATCTGAAGGTACAGGAGGACTTACTCTTCAGTGGTCAATTTGTTTTCACTGTAACGTTCCGCCCTCCCAGACACTGCCGGTTGGTGTCACGTGATCGCCGAGTCAGCTGACCTGTGTCTGGCCGGAAGACTCCTTGGATTCGGTCTCTTGGCACCATGGTGAGGGATTAGTGGAGACGCGAAGCTGGGTATCGGGCGAGAAGGGGGGTTGGTGGTTCTAGGGGCACAGGGAGAGAATCTTCACCGGCGCCTGCTGGGTGCGGCAGGACGGCCGAGTTCGCAGGCGCAGCCACGCATCACAGCATGGGCGCGCGCCCGCGTTCATCCCTGGCCAGGCCCCACCTCCCGGGACCCCGATTCTCACACGCTCCCCACCGCTCCAAGAGGCCCTCCCGCGGGAGCCCACTTCCCCTGCTGTCGGGTGACCAAGACGAGAACATGCTTAGAACGGGTCCACACGGTTAGGAAGCCTCTGCCGCTTTCCAGAGCCAGGAAGTGGTTCTTGATTGGATTGAGCTTTCTTACTCGCTCATATGTGCATTCATTCAACAGATTCGTGTTGAGTGAGTGTCCAGCCAGCACAGGCATTGGGACTTCAGTTGCAAAAGGGGAGGGCAAGTCAGAAGCAGGAATTGGCAGGCATAGTTCTTTCTCGAGCCGCAGAGACTTTTCTTGAACCTTGGGCCCACTCTGCTCAGTGAAGGGTAGTTTCTGTAATCCTATTGGGAAGCAGGGGCAATGGAAAGGTGTCCTCAGACAGGGAACAGTTGTGCAACCTCTGAAAGAGCGAGGCTCCCCGGGAGAGTGCATATCTTGTCTCGCTAGAGCTTGGTTAAGATCAGGCAAGACCAGTAAAGATCAAATCTTTCTGGGACTTGGATCGCCTTATCAAAATAGTGAGCATTACCTCAGGCCGCCCAAAGCGCTTTGTTTAAAGAGGAGATTGTGGGCTGGAGAGATGGCTCAGAGGTTAAGAGCACTGGCTGCTCTTCCAGAGGTCCTGAGTTCAATTCCCAGCAACCACATGGTGGCTCACAACCATCTGTAATGAGATCTGGTGCCCTCATCTGGCCTGCAGGGATACATGTATGCAGAACACTGTATATGTAATAAATAAATCTTTAAAAAAAAAAAAAAAAAAAAAAAAAAAAATAAAGAGGAGATTGTGGGAAGTAGGATCTGGTGCTGTGACTCAATGGTACACATGCCCGAGACTTTGAGCCCCAGCACTGCCAACAACAAGCCCCCCAAAACCTAGGATCGGGAAGGGCACATCTGATAACTTGATGTTTAAGACGATCCCTGAATGAGATGGGAGGTTTGGGGGTGTGGTGCATGAGAATAGAGGATCTAGCAAGGATGAAGGCGGGGTGAGGCTGGGGTAATGGTAGCATCAGGCAAACTGTTGTGCCTGGAGCATGCTGGGCACTCAACGTAGAACTGCCACAAACTGATGTTTGTTGAGCAGATACAGTAAAAGTCAGAACAAGGTCAGGTGGCAGTGTGGGCAGGGATTGAGTACTCAAGACAGTCTAGTGATAGGGGAGAACAGGTGACCAGAGAGTGCTCATCCTGGACATGGATCCTGACCACACCTCAGCCCTTCCTGAAACCTGATTTCCCACCTTACTCTCTCGCAGAGGTTCCGGTTCTGTGGTGATCTGGACTGTCCTGACTGGGTCCTGGCAGAGATCAGCACACTGGCCAAGATTGTTGAGTGCACTGGTTCACTTAGGGTTGGGAGGAGGAAGGCTTGGGGTCCGGAATGGAGGGAGGAGATTGGGACTGGGAGCTGGGAGTGGGGGTGGAGGAGTCTCCCTGACTATGGGGCCTCCATACTATGTGGCCTTGGTCACAGTCACATGGCTGGCCCTCCTTCAGCCAGTCCCCCAGAAATGAGGGTAAGGTGGGTCAGTCTGGCTGAAACAGGGAAATCCTTTCCAGTCCTCTGTGAAGCTGCGGCTGCTGTGTAGCCAGGTGCTAAAGGAGCTTCTGGGGCAGGGGATTGATGTGAGTACAGTACCCAACACTCCACTGTCGGATAACCTTATGAGCCCCAGAGAAGTCTGTTCTGCAGCCTCCCAGCCCCCTTGGACATCCCCTTCCTTTCCTCCAGCCCCAGCACATTCCTTACCACAAGATCTGGGCCAGGGGCAAGGGGCTGGTGACAGGGCTCTGGCACCCCCTGAGGACCTCCTTTCCCCATAGTATGAGAAGATCCTGAAGCTTACTGCTGATGCCAAGTTTGGTGAGTACCCCAGACCAGGAATCACGGCCTTCCTTGACCCTGCTGCGTCACGGGAGGACAGGAAGGGAAGAACCATATTGGCAGCCCTGTCCCCAACCTCTGCCACCTCCTGCTGGTCCAGTAGCAGTGCCCAGGGTTCAAGAAACTTGGGGCCCAAAGCTGAAGATAATAGGGCAGGGAAGTGGTTGGGGCCACAGTGACATCCCCTGCCTCGCCTGTGGATCTCTAGAGTCTGGAGATGTGAAGGCCACAGTCGCGGTGCTGAGTTTCATTCTCTCAAGTGCAGCCAAGCATAGTGTGGACAGTGATTCCTTGTCCAGTGAGCTACAGCAGCTGGGGCTGCCCAGAGGTACGCAGGGTGGACGGGCAGCTGGGAAACCTGTGGGTAGGGGTTCCTGGAGGGTACACTGAGGCCTTGTTGTCCCTGAGATGTACCCAGTCCTCTGTGGGCCCTGGATCCTGAGACCCACCCCTTAAGCCCAAGGCCAGTCTCCACCCGCCACCTCAGCAGAGCTCCATCTACCTGCAGAGCATGCCACCAGCCTGTGCCGCTGTTATGAAGAGAAGCAGAGCCCCCTACAGGAGCACCTTCGGGCCTGCAGCCTGCGTGGTGAGTATGAAAACAGCCCGGGTGGGGACGTAGTGGGGGAGGGGGGCTGTACTCTAGGAGGTATGAACACAAGCCAGATGCCATCGCTCTAGGAGAAGCTTTAACCACAGTTACACTCAGAGCAGTTGAGGAGTTTAGAACTGGCCAAAGATCTCACGGCTATGGCCTGAGTTTCTTTTCTGAGGCCCATGGTAGATATTAGAGTACCTGTCCTACAACAGGCCTGGTTGAAGGGCCTTGAAGGCTTGTGGGATGAGCCCCATTGTGGAGTGAGGACTTCCTGGCTTGCCTGGTTGGTAGCTGCCGAATTTCTGGCCCGCAGTGAACAGGCTGGCCGCTGTGGCCTGGCGGGTGGACTACACCCTGAGCTCCAGCCTGCTCCGTTCTGTGGAGGAGCCCATGGTGCACCTGCAGCTAGAGGTTGTGCCTGCCCCGGGCGCCCTGGCCCAACCTGTTTCCATGTCCCTCTCAGCAGACAAGTTCCAGGTTCTCCTGGCAGGTGAGGCTGGACAGAGGGGGGCGGCCCTCCTGGGTCTGGCTGACTTGGAACTGGCTATAAAGGCCAGGCTGGCCTTAGAACTGGCTTCTGCTCCTTACCACTCCCCATGCACCCCCTTGTCCCCTGCAGAACTGAAGCAGGCCCAGACCCTGATGACGGCTTTGGGCTGAGAAGGGTGTTTCCAGCCTCTGTGGAGCTGCCCTGTCTGGACTGAGGTGCTCCCCTCCACACTTCTCTTCCAAGGGTGGCCCTGTTCTCTTGGGTCTCTGGCTGCCTGACTTTCTATGTAGGGCTCCTGGGGATCTTCCCCAGAAGTCCCTTCTGTCCTTTGAAAGAAAGTGCTTGTCAACCATTTTTACAGGAAGAAAGAATAAACTTGTGTACAGCAATGTATATGGGTTTTGCTTGCTTCTGTGGTTGTTATTGACAGAATAGCACTCCAACTTGGTATCTAGTTGAGGTTGATCTTAAACTTTTAATCCTCCTGCCTCTACTTCTTGAGATTACAATCATGCACCACCATGCCTGGTTTATGTGGTGCTGGGAACAAACCCAGGGCTTCATGCATGTCAGGCAAGCTCTTTACCAGCTGAGCTAAATCCCAGCCCAAGTAAGAGACCAGGTGACGTTCTACCCTCCCTGCCCATCACTTATTTTCTCAACACTGGACTGAGGACCAGAATGAACAGCGTGTTTGTAGATTGGCAAATTGGGGTGCTAGCTCCGTCTTGTGATGCTCTTGGCTCTTCCCTTCCTGTGCAGTCCTTGTCTTCAGGCTCGCAGCAAGTGAGCGACACTGATCCTGGTGCCCAGGGCAGAGGAGAAAGAGCTTTTCCTTGCTGTCTTTACTAGGAAAAGAGTGTAGCACAAATCTTAAAAGGTCTTATTAATAAAAACAAACCCAGAGCCAGGTATTGGGGTGAATGCTGAAAGATCAGAGAAACAGAACAAGCCAAATCCAATTTCACCTTGCCAATTTCTCAGCTGATCTCTTTCCTCAAACTGGAAGCCTCTGAGTCCTCACCTGAATGGATCTCAGCTGAACTGCTGCTAGAAGCCTCAAAGCTTAAAAGCCCCTACCTAGTTCCTGGTCTTCAGGCCTTGTATACCTTTTTGCTTCTGCCATCACTTCCTGGGATTAAAGGCGTGTGTCACCATGCCTGTCTGTTCTCAGTGTGGCCTTGAACTCACAGAGATCCGAATGGATCTCTGCCTCTGGAGTGCTGGGATTAAAGGGTTGTGCTACCACTGCCTAACCTTTATGTTTAATATAGTGGCTGTTCTGTTCTCTGACCCTCAGATAAATTTATTGGGGTACACAATATATCAACCACAGAAGAGTCCAAGCCTGAGCACCTCCTTAGCGAGAGGTTGGGTACTGCAAACTGAATATTCACTATGGTGATATTTTCCCACACATCATGTCTGAAGCTGTCCCTCTCTGTACATGTATCTAGAAGGGCCATTTGAGGGTGCGGTGGACAGGTGGCTGCTTACAAGCCAGGAAACCCCCTTCCTGGGGAACTGAGCCTGCCAGCACCTGGATTTTTGACCTGGACTCCAGAATTAAGCTAAAACCCATAGTCACCCAAGATGGGAGTAGGCTGGGCAGTGCTCCTTGTAAAAGTCTCACTGTGGGGTCAGGGCAGGGAGAACCTGGAGCATCTCACAGTGTAAAGAAGCTGTCAAAAGAAACCAATCCACCTCACGATCCAGAGGGGAGATCATTTTGGGCATCAGTAAAAGCTAAGGACTGAGATAGAAGGTTGTGCCTCACCCCTGTAATCCTAAGGTTCAGGAGCCTGGCTCATGGACTATAAGAGTGAGATACTGTCTTTTTGTTTTTGGGAAGAGAGAAAAGAAATCCCATAAAAAATTCTCAGATGTGTCCATATCAGCTTGTTCCCCGGGCACCACCCCTCCTGTGTCATCCCAGGGTCCTGGGAATTTCTGCCTTTGTCCTTAGGACAGTGGAATTTTGTCAATCATTTGTCTCTTTGACCAGCCTGAGCTGTTTGGGTTGGTTTTGTTTTCATTTGAGTCTGGGTCTGTGTAGCCCAGGCTGGCCTGGAACTCATTATTAGCCCAGTTTGGCCTCCTGAAACTCATTCAATCCTCCTGGCTCAGGCTTCAGAGGATTGGGCTTACAGGTGTGGGCCACCATGCCTAGTGTCAGCCTGAGTTTCTCAAGGGTAGGAACTGTGTAGCCCCGATGCATACTCTTCAGTCGCTGGGGGGGGGGGGGGGGGGGGGAGTGGGTAAGGACCAGAGTGGCTGTTTGCATTTGCTCTTCTTTGAGCTAGGGCTCACTGTGTAGATCTGGCTCACCTGGAACTGGCTGTAAAGGCCAGGCTGGCCTCAGATTTGATTCTGCTTCTCAGCATTCCCAGATGGGATGTTTTACAGGTGTCGGATGCAGCTGGAAGTAGCAGCGAATCCACTTCACCTTGGTGCTCAGAAGTGAAGTCAGGAATTTCAGGATTTCAAGATCATCCATGGCCACATCCCAGGCCTGCCAGTGTCACCTGAGACACTGTCACTAATTAATTAACTAAAAATCTGAGCCTGGAGAGAAAGCTAAGCAGTTAGAGCACTGGCTACTCTATGAGAGGATCTAGGCTTGATTCCCAGCACCCACATGGTAGCTCATGACTGTGACTCCATTTCCAGGGGATCCCATGTCTTCTGACCTCCAAGGGCATTGTACGAACATTGTGTACAAACATACATGTAGGTTCAAACATACACCCTTACAAATAAAAGAAATTTTAGGAAGAAAAACTTTTTAACAATACATGAGTCTGTAATGATGAGGAAAACAAAAAAAAACGAAAACAACACTGCCTTAAAGGCAGACCAATATAGTTTGTAACTATTAGACACAATTACTGCACCAAAATCTTAGTCTGAAAATTGGTAAAAGCACCAGGCATGGTGGCACACACCTTTAATCCCAGTACTTAGGAGGCCAGACGCAGGTGGATCTATGTGAGTTTGAGGTTAGCCTGGTCTACAGATCAAGTTCCAGGACAGTCAGGGCTACACAGAAACCTTGTTGAGAGAGAGAGAGACGGGGGTGGGGGGTGGGGGTGGGGGAGGTGTTTGGTAAAGGAAGGAAGAATCCTTGAGATAGAGTTACAGCGCAGTGGTGGTGGAGTACTTACCTGCCATCTACAAGGCCCTAGGTTTGATTTCCAGAACTGAAAAAATGAACAAACATGGGCCAGGTGAAGTGTGTACATCTTTTACCGAAGCACGGGAGAAGCTAAAGCGGGAAGTATGCTTTATTTCAAAAAATAATTTTAAAAAGTCAGCTAGGTATGATTGCACACATCATTAATCCCAGCACTCAGGAGGCAGAGTCAGGAAGGTTTCTATGAGTTCAAGGTCAACCTGGTCTACATAATGAGTCCTAGGACAGCCAGGGCTACATAGAGAGACACTGTATCAAAAGAAAAAACAAAGTCATAGTCAATAACGTGAAACTTTATTTTTTTTACAGAAATTGCAACTAGTTGATAGGTAAGTATTGCTAGACTAGAGCCAGGCATCGTGGTGCACACTTGGATCCCAGCACTTGGGAAATGAAGGCAGAGGATTAGGGGTTCAAGTCCAGCCTTGGCTACACACAGCAAGTGGGATACAGGAGACATCAAAAAGGAAAGAGGAGACATTTTGTAACTGCTAACTAGATCCGAGGTGAAGAGTGAGGCCCAATGGTGCAAACCTATCATTGCAGCTGCTGAAGCAGGAGAATTTTGAGCAGGTTCATGGGGCTTCCTTGGGGAATTAGACATGTAGCTCACTAAGTAGCATTTGCCCAGAATGACTTCAGGCTCCAGCACTAAAAAGAAATAGCTGATATCCAACCTAACATCTCTGTAGCCTTTTAGCCAGGTGTAGGCAGACATTTCTTTCCCACCCAGCAGTTCCCAAATAACCGACACAGAGACTTAATATTAATTGTAAATGCTCGGTCGATAGCTCAGGCTTGTTACTAGCTAACTCTTACACATTAAATTAACCATATTTCTTATCTACTCTCTGCCATGTGGCTCATGGGCTTGTCACCTCATTTTCTACATGTCCTGTTTCCTGTGTCTGCTGGCATCTCCTTCAGCTCCACCCTTCTTCATCCCACCATCCTTAGTTTGGTTGTCCCACCTATACTTCCTGCCTGGCTACCAGCCAGTCAGGATTTTATTAAACCAATTCGAGTGACAAGTCCTTACAGTGTACAAAATGATTATTTCACAGCAACCAGGCAAGTGGCTCACATCTCTAATCTCAATACTTAAGAGGTCAAGGCAGGAGGATGGCTGTGAGTTTGAGGTTAGCCTGGGCTACTTAGTGAGTTCAGGCTAGCTTACACAATTTATTAAAACTGTTGTCTTGCCAGGTGTGGTAGTGCAAGCCTTTAATCCCAGCATTTGGGAGGCAGAGGCAGGTGGATCTCTGTGAGTTCAAAGCCAGCCTAGTCTACAAAGTGAGTTCCAGGACAGCCAGGGCTGTTACACAGAGAAACCCTGTTTCGAAGAATCAACAAAAACAAAACAAACAAACAAAAAAACCTATTGTCTTAAATCATTTTTTTACTATATAAACCAGGCTGGCCTTTAACTCAGAGATCCGCCTGCCTTTTTGCCTCCCAAGGGCTGGTGTTAAAGGCATGTGCTACCATGCCTGGCAAGTCAATTTTTTTTTTTTTTTTTTTTTTTTTTTTTTGGTTTTTCGAGACAGGGTTTCTCTGTGTAGCTTTGCGCCTCTCCTGGAACTCACTTGGTAGCCCAGGCTGGCCTCGAACTCACAGAGATCCGCCTGGCTCTGCCTCCCGAGTGCTGGGATTAAAGGCGTGCGCCACCACCGCCCGGCCGCAAGTCAATTTTTAAAAGGCTGGTTATACAGTTCAGGATTAGAGAGTTTGCCCAGCATTCATGAGGTTCAATTCTTGATACAATAAACAAAAATAGTTGATTGTGGCAAATCATTAGGAGTTCAAAAATCTTTGGATGAAATGTTGATGAGGGGTCCTTGAGATGGCTCAATGGGTCACCTGCCATCAAGACTGGCAACCTGAGTTCAATCCCTGAGGCCTACATGGGGAAAGGAAGAATGGACTCCAGAAAGCTGTCCTCTGACTGCTGTATTTTACAAACGGTGGGAAGGAGTCACACCATACAGCAGGGCCCACATGGGAGGTTTTTTGAGGGGAGGGGAGAGAAGGGGCAGAGAAGAGGGCAGAAACCAGTCCCGGGGGGGTGCGGGGGAGTGAAGGAGGAGAAAGAGAAAGAGACAGGAGGTGGGCAAGGCCCGCCTTTTATAAGAAAACATATGGAATGCACACAGGAGGTGCTCTTAGTGGCTGCAGCTGAGGTATATCCTGTCAGGACCCTAAGGGCAGGCCTGTACAGATGCCTGAATGCTAACACTGACCTTCACAGATACACTTCACTGCACATGTGAGCCCCCCACCCCCACACAGAAAAAAGCAATTTTAAAAACTTAAGCTGAGAAACTGAGCAGTGGTGGCACACATCTTTAATCCCAGCACTCCAGAGGCAGAGGCAGGTGGGTCTCTATGAGTTCGAGGCCAGCCTGGTTGGTCTACAGAGCAATTTCCAGGACAGCCAGAACTACACAGAGAAACCCTGTCTTGAAAAACAAAAACGAAACAACAACAGATCCGGCTGTGGTAGTCAATATCGTTCGTTAATCCCAACACTCCTGAAGCAGAGGCAGGTGAGTCTCTGAGTTCAAAGCCAGACTGGTCTACACAGCCAGTTCTAGGAAAGCAAGGACTACATAGTGAAGCTCTGTCTTTAAAAAAAAAAAAAAAAAAAAAAAAAAATTTTAATGTTGATGTGAAAGTGGAATTTGCATAGTGCTGAGGAAGCAATCAGTCACATCCCCAGATGTCCCCAGGTGGTGACTGCATAAACGAAGTGGCTACACAGAGAGTATTTTGACTTTCAAGAGGAATGAGCTAGTAAGTACAACGGCATGGGCAAGGTTGGGAGTAGAAGATAAATAGACTCCCTATACTGTGATAGGAGCAGTTAACACAGATGGCGCAGAACAGGCACTTGCTTTTTGACCCTGGAAACCCATGTAAACAGCAGGATGTCATAGCAACCATTTATAATCTCAGCCCTCTTAAGGGGAGGTGGAGACAGAAGAACTGTCCAGAAGCTCTGGGGACAGCGAGGCTGGAGGACAGCACAGCAGCATAAATGAGAGATGGCTGCTTCAACCAGCAGCAGAGCTGACCCTGCAAGCTGTCCCCTGACCTCCACACATGGATGCACTGTGGCACACAATGCTCCCCTTTGTATGCACGTCACAACAACAATATAATAAAAAGAATACATGAGAGCCATCCCTTTGAAGTGTTGTTGTACAACCGTGCTAACTACAGATCCCATGCTGCACGTATTCATCTTGGGCAACTGAAACTTTCTCCCTACTAACAACTTCCTCTCCCTCCTTTCTACAACCATTCTACTCACTCCTTTTGTGTGTCTGATTAATTTAGATGCCCCATATAAATGGGATCTCAGTGTTTGTCCTTCTGTGACTGATCTACCACTTAGCATAATGTCCTCAAGATTATCTGTGCTGCTGCCTGTGGTAGGCAGTGAATAATATTCCACTCTGCTTATATCCCATGTGCTACGTTTCTTAAGATTTATCTTTATAATCTGTGTGTGTGCACATGCACATGAGTGCTCGGCAGTTCATGTTCTCACACGTGAGTACAGCTGCCTGATGAGATCAGAGGTTTCAGATGCCCTTGGAGCTAGTGGCGAGCTGCCAGATGTGGGTGCTCAGAACCAAACTTGGTCATGGTCTTAGAAAGACCACTACGATTGGCTGAGTATGGAAGGAGTGCTTTAACCACTGAGCTCTCTCTCCAGCCCAGTATATATGCCACGTTTTAAAAATCTGTGTATCCACAGATAGCTATTGAGGTGGTTTCCTCTCTGAGGCTGCTGTATGTATGCTTTCATGGGTATTATCTCCCAAGTGTGGGGAGCAGCTGTATAATTATGTGTATTTGTCACACTCAGCCAGGTGTGGTAGCACGCACCTTTAATCCCAGCAGAGGCAGGTGGATCTCTGTGAGTTTGAGGCCAGCCTGGTCTACACAGCAAGTTTCAGGTCAGCTAGGGCTATATAGTGAGACCCTGTCTCAAAAACACAAAACAAAACAAAATGCAAAACCCCCTCCTACTTCAGGGATAGAGATGATACAGCAGATAAAAGTACTTGCTGCTCTTTCAGAGGCCCCAGTTCTGGTTCCCAGCACCCTCTGGTGGAATACAATCATCTATAATTCTAATTCCAGCGATCTGATGCCTTCTTCTGGCCTCAGAGTGCACCAGACAGGCACATGGAGCACATACATACATGTGTAGGCAAACACTTATATAATTAAAAACAAAATAAACCTTTTTAAAAACTCATAGTCGGGGCTGGAGAGATGGCTCAGAGGTTAAGAGCACTGGCTGTTCTTCCAGAGGTCCTGAGTTCAATTCCCAGCAACCACATGGTGGCTCACAACCATCTGTAATGAGATCTGGCTCCCTCTTCTGGCCTGAAGGAATATACGCAAGCAGAACACTGTATACACGATAAATAAATAAATTAAAAAAAAAAAAGACGTTTAAAAAAAAAAAAACTCATAGTCAAGCCAGGCCTAGTGGACGTCTTAGTTACTTTCCTATCGCTGTGACAAAACACCATGACCAAGGAAGGCAACCTACAGAAGAGTTGGGTGGGGTTCACAGTTTCAGAGGGTGAGTCCATGACCATCGTGGCCAGGAGCATGGCGTCTGGAAGGCAGGCATGGCACTGGATGGAAGCTGAGAGCTTACATGCTAAGACACAAGCAGGAGGCAGAGAGAGAGAGGGGGCTACCTGGAAAGGGTGTGAGCTTTTGAAACCTCAAAACCCACCCCCCAGATATACACCTTCTACAATGCTTCCCAAACAGTTCCTTCAAGTGGGAGCCGAGTATTGAAAAAATAAGCCTATGGGGGTCATTCGCATTCAAACCACCACAGTGGGCCATACCTATAACTCCAGTTCTTACTGGGGAGGCAGAGGAAGGAGGATTAGAATAAATTGGAGGCCAGTTTGAGTTCCAGGCCAATCATGAATACATAGCAAGACCCTCTCTTTAACCTTCCTCACCTAAAAAAAAAAAAAAAAAAGCAAGAAGTAAATAAAAAGAAGGGCAAACCCTGGCTGTTGGTCAGCACAGGGAAAATGCAAAGTACCCTGCAGAGGCTTTCTTTCTCTTTTATACTTTTTAAGCCTTCTACCTCCACCTCCCAGGGCTTCTTGAGGCTCAGCCCTAACAGTACTTCCCCCTTCTCTTGTCCTCAACCTAGCCCACCCCCCCACAGCCCACCACACAGCACTTCCTCAGGTTCTGTTCCTGCACTTTGCATTGATCCGTTGTGCCTGGCAATAAAGTATCTTGTCTACACCTTTTTGTGTCTGCGGTTGTGACAGTCAGACTAAGCAAGCTTTTGTGGCTAAATCCTGGCTTTACCTAAGGCTGCCACAGAGCCCCTCCCCCACAGAACCCTCTTAAGCCCCTGTTATTGCCCGATTCACTTTCCGCTCCGCGGGCAGTGATGATGTTGTTTATATGTTATGTCTGACTGCATTCACATTTACGATCATCTTGGGTCCCCAGGGGTTGTTTATCATGCACCTGTGTGTGTCTTGCACACAGCTGCAGGTGGCTCTACCCAGTCCTTGCCGTTTCCGGGTGCGGGTGTCAACCCTGGCCAGACTAACTGGTAACCTCAACAGCAGACAGCTGCGACTCCGGGCACCAGTTCTGACTGCGGCTCCGCTCACCGTAAGACGGGTTCTTTCGCCACCTCCGGGCCACGCGACTGCCCCAAAGCTTGCCCAACACCCGGGATCCCCATAACTGAAGAACTGCATTCCATTCTGCGCCGCCTGCCCGAGGAACTACACTTCCCAGCAGGGGCCAGGGCGGCTACGTCCTCTCCCAGCGTGCTCTGAGGTTCGGCAGGACGCTGTGATTTACCCATTAGTGGCTGCAGCCTCCTTTGAGCCTCAGCCAGAGCAGGTATCCAGTTTGGATGGGTTCGATACGGGTCCTCAGTGGAACTGAAAATCTAAAGTATCTGGGAGCCTAGGCAGGCAGGGAACCCAAGATTGTGTGTGTGTGTGTGTGTGTGTGTGTGTGTGTGTGTGTGTGTGTGTGTGTGTGTTTGGAGGGGGGTGCCATAGGGAGCTCCGCCTCCTCTTAAAACTAGGACTCTGAAGGTTTTCTGCTATATGAAGGTTTTCTGCTAACCGAATCCGTTCTGGTGCCGAGGTGTCTGCCCTAGCTAAACCCATCTTCCGGACAAGTACCTTCACCTCAAATCCTACAAGTAGCAAAGAGGATGTGAGGGTGTGAGGGCAAAGAACCAGATCCCGGTCCCTCCTGGCACCCCCACTATACCTACCTGGGGTCTGTGAGAACAGGGCTGTACACAAATGGAGCATTCCCTCCTCCTGGTTCTGCTCCCTGCCCTGGCTACAGGGCAGCTGAGAGGGGACGAAGCCTCTCTGTTCTGTCTTTGTGGTGATAGCAGGCTAGGTCTATTGCTGCTGGCCCAACACTCAGTTGAGTTTCTACCTCCATGGATGCTAGAGAGATTCAGGGCCAGTCTAAGCTGTGGTTGATGAATGATCAGATCTTTGTCTTTGGGGTGCCAGCAGGGGGAGGCTGGAACAGATGGTGAGAACCTTTGAACTTTGGGAGCTCCGAAGTCAAGATGTGGATGGGGAGAAAGAAAGCCTCCCTCAAATGTCCTACTGTGTGTGGTTGGGGGACAGTAGGGGCAAAGGCCTGGAGATGGGAGGAACAGGTTTGTGGGTGGGTGGGGGAGCTCGGAGGACACAAGGTAACAGACTCCAGCAAAGATCTGAACTGTGTTCTAAAACTAGGTGTGGAAGCCCATGGAGGGAAAGCGTTAGTGAGCAAGACAGCCGCCCTGCCTCCCAGCTTCAGCCTCCGGTAGGTACCCTGTCCTTGCCAGCACTTTGGATGGGAAACGGGGGCTGTGTCTAGGTCAGCATTTTCCTGCCTATCCTAGACGGCCGTGTGCCTCTCTGCCTTTCACTCTGTAAAGCTTCGGTGACGATTTCTACTTAACAGGTGTCTTCTGGCACAGCCTGTTGTCTCCTTCCCTCTACAGGGGCCGCCATTCCTCCTTCAGAATGCCGGAGGGCCCAGAGCTGCACCTTGCCAGCTGTTTTGTAAATGAGACGTGTAAGGGGCTCGTATTTGGCGGCTGTGTGGAGAAGTCCTCTGTCAGCCGCAACCCCGAGGTGCCCTTTGAGAGCAGTGCCTACCATATCTCAGCCTTAGCCCGAGGCAAGGAGCTGCGCCTGACCTTGAGCCCCCTGCCTGGTGCCCAGCCCCCTCAGAAGCCACTGTCCCTTGTCTTCCGCTTTGGTATGTCTGGATCCTTCCAGCTGGCACCTGCAGATGCCCTGCCGCCCCATGCCCATCTACGTTTTTACACGGCCCCACCCGCCCCCCGGCTTGCCCTTTGCTTCGTGGACATCCGACGCTTTGGCCACTGGGACCCTGGGGGTGAATGGCAGCCAGGCCGTGGACCCTGTGTCTTGCTGGAGTATGAACGGTTCAGGTAGGACTGGGTATGTAGAGTACCATCCAGGCCCGCAAGAAACAAATCCTAACCCCTCCTGAGCCTGTCCCCCATCTGTGGATTGAGGTGGTGTCAGGGCAGCAAACGTGTGAGAGAGGGCAGTCCAGAGGAGGGAGGACAGTCAGAGGTCCCAGACACGGAACAGTGTCAGAGTTGGGCTGGGGCCCAGCACCCCACTTTGCTTCCTGGTGGTCCTGGGCCATCAAGGACAGTAGAGGGACCTTACGAGATAAGCCTGCACAGTGGGGAGAGGGTGGTCTAGTGACCGTAAGTCAGGTCTTGGTGGTCCTCACATTCTGCCTGCCCACCTGTCCATGTCCTGGGGGCTCCTGTGACTGTCCCTGTTATCACTACTTTCCTCTAAAGAGAGTCACTGCTCCAAGGCAGGCCCTGTAGGGAGCAGCAGGGGACAGGGTGAGTGCGGTCCCTTCGTTCACTGCACTGATGATGTGCAGGTAAGGCAGGTGGCCAGGACACACAAAATAAATTCACAGACCTTTGCCCAGTGGTGGGGAGCACATCAGGCATGGCCTCCTGAAGGAAGTGACCTTTGAGCTGAGATCATCTTCTGGCCAGTGCAGAGGGAACCAGCTGTGCAAATCTCGGAGGAGAGTCTTGCCTAGCTGAACGTTTTTGATTCTTTAACAATAAACAACCCCGCCGGGCGGTGGTGGCGCACGCCTTTAATCCCAGCACTCGGGAGGCAGAGCCAGGTGGATCTCTGTGAGTTCCAGGCCAGCCTGGGCTACCAAGTGAGTTCCAGGAAAGGCGCAAAGCTACACAGAGAAACCCTGTCTCGAAAAAGAAAAATAAAAAAAAAGCTAACAATAAACAACCCCATGTTGTTCTCATGTCACAAATGGGAGAACAGAGGCTCCAGCTGCCCAAACAGTACTGAGAGCAGAGGAAGCTGGGACCGTTTCTCCTTGCACTCAGCACTGCTTCCCCAGCCCTTCATCCCTATCCCGGGGTGTGGGATGAGTCTCATGCATCCAGCCTATGTCCTTCCAGGGATAACGTACTTCGGAACCTGTCAAACAAAGCCTTTGACCGGCCCATCTGCGAGGCCTTGTTGGACCAGAGATTCTTCAATGGCATTGGCAACTATCTTCGGGCAGAGATCTTGTACCGGTCAGCAGGCAGGCTGTGGGTACAATGGCTGGGGTAGGGCATGGATGATCACATCCACTACTTAGCCTGGGCCCGTTCCACCATCCCAGGCTGAAGATCCCCCCTTTCGAGAAGGCCCGGACAGTTCTAGAGGCCCTGCAGCAGTCCCGGCTGGTGAGGACAGTGTACAAGCGTGTGTGTGTGTGTGTGTGTGTGTGTGTGTGTGTGTGTGTGTGCTGGTGTGGGTGGCAAGGGTATGTGTAGAGTCAGGTATTTCTTACCTTAACTCATCAAGTGTGTGGAAGGGATGTGAACCACATTAAAGGTCTTGCCAAGCTTAGAGCGGAAGTCCATTGTCTTCAGTGTGAAGTGGGGTGAGTACCCTTCGTTAACACCTTGGTTCTGCCCACGCCCCCTTCAGAGCCCAGAGCTGACCCTGAGCCAGAAGATCAAGGTCAAACTGCAGAACCCAGACCTGCTGGAACTGTGTCACTTGGTGCCCAAGGAAGTGGTTCAGCTGGGTGAGGCCTGGGGAAGCCAAGATGGCCAGCGATCTCTGCTTCAGCCTCTGTGCGATGCTGGGCAGCTGTCATCCTGGCCCTAGGGAATGGGAGTTTGCTAAACAGACCAGGTCTCTTGGCAAGTTTCCCAGCCTCCCATGCTGCAGGAGGGACAGGATTCACCTTGCTGATGGAGAGGGACTGGGACCCAGAGTGTGGGGGGAGGTAGTGTGGCCCTGACTCAGTCCATCAGCTTCTTTAGCTGAGGTCTGAGCCATGTCGAACCAGACTCCTTGTTCCCCCCACTCCACAACACCCTCTCACCTCTGACTGGTTCCTCTGTCCCTCAGGGGGCAAAGGCTACGGGCCAGACCGTGGAGAGGAGGATTTTGCTGCCTTTCGAGCCTGGCTGCAGTGCTATGGCGTGCCAGGCATGAGTTCCCTGCGAGACCGGCATGGCCGTACCATCTGGTTCCAGGTTCGAGCCCTACTGCTCACATGGGCAAATGGAGACCCTAGGAAAGCTGGTGGGGTAACAAGATAGGAGACAGAGGTCTGAGCCAGGCAGAGATGACCTTAGCCTGTGGAGGCCTGCCAAAATCGCATTGTTCCTGAGTGTATAGTTCTCCATGTGATGCTCTTCTCCTTGGAACCCCAGGGTCCAAACCAGTAGAAACAGCTCAAAGCAGCTAATCTGTGTGTGTGTGTGTGTGTGTGTGTGTGTGTGTGTGTGTGTGTGTGTGTGTATAGGGGTTGGAGGAAATCAGAGACTTCCTAGACAGGGAACTATATTGATCTGAAAGGATATGGCCTTGCCACTTCAAGGAAAACTGCCCCTTCACCAGACCAGGCTGACTCCAGAATTGTTCTTATTCCATTTTAGGGTGATCCCGGACCCTTGGCACCCAAAGGTAAGCAGCTCTTGATGTAAGAGATAGACAGCTGGAAGGACCATGGGCCGGCCTTGCACACCCATCCTCCCATCCCTCTCCAACCTTGGAGTCACCCAGCACTAAGAGTCTAGAGAGGGGCGGAAGCCCTCGGGCTAAGTCCAGTACATCCTCCTCCAGGGGGCAGGTCCCGAAAAAAGAAGCCACGGGAGACTCAGCCGGGGGCTGGAGACACAGAAGAGGTATGAGCCCAGCCCCTGCCTCCCCTGCACTTACTCCTGTCAACCCCACTTCTCAGGCCAGGCTCCTGGCCAGCTGACTCCCTCTCAAGGGGGTGTGGGTGCATGGTGGGGAATGTCAGTGGTAGATCCTAACTGCAGGGAAGAAAAGCTAGTAAGGACCATCTTCTCTATCCAGGACCATCCGCTCTCAGGCAAGCCCATTTCCAGGACTCGGAGGGCCAGGAAACACCCTCCTAAGAGTATAGCTCAACAGTCTGAAGGGACCAGCCTCCAACGAAACCAGGAAACCCCCACAGCCCCCAAGAAAGGAAAGAGAAGGGGGCGACCGGAAACCGCAGGTGGACCATCTTCAACATCCTCCTGGAGCTGGAAAGAGACCCCGGGGAGTGGCTCTTCAGGGAGGCTGGGAGGTAACAGGGTGGGCAGAGGGAGGAAGGCCTAGTACAGGACACACAGTCACTGCCTCCCCTGTTCTCCCCATAGGTGGCCCTGCCTCCCCTGCTCTGCCCAAAGGTGGCCGCAGACCCAGGAAGAGCAAGGCTGATACCTGACCCCTGGAGGCTGGGGGAACTTCAGCCTCCTAGAGGGAGGTTTCCTTTCTTGGTCCTTCCTTCCCTGCTGCCTTGCTGTGAATCTAGGGGTGTCTGAATCCCTGGAGGCTGTGTTGGTAGGGCGGTGTGCCCTAGGCCCTGTGACTTGTCCTGCACAACCTTTTTGAAGCAGGGTCTCATATATCCTAGGCTGGCCTTGAGCTCATGTGTACCTGAGGATGACAATGAACTCCTGATTGATCTTCCTGCCTTCATTTGCATAATTGCTGGGATTACAGGTGTGAGCCACACATACCCTGCTGATTTTTGTTGTCTTTTCAAGACAGGGTTTCTCTTTGTAGCCCTGGCTATCCTGGAACTTGATCTGTAGACCAGGCTGGCCTTGAACTCAGAGATCTGCCTGCCTCTGCCTCCTGAGTGCTGGGATTAAAGGCGTGGGCCACCACCTCCTGGCTTGTGATATTTATAAATATTACATATAAATATTATAAACATTAACAAACTAATGAATTTGAACTTTTGGGCTGGCTGCATGAGGTATGAGAAGGCCAGGTTGGAAAGGCCGGCTGCATGGCTCCACCTATTTATGAATGTAATCCCTGCCTTCCACCCCGACCCCAACAAGACTCAATCAGAGGACACTCTGCCTCTGCAGGGCCAGCCCCTCTGCAGACCTGGGCTCAGGCCATCCCGGTGTCATAGCTCTTGCAGTCCAGGATTCTTCAGGGCCTATGGTTGGCTGCACCCCCAGCCTAACACTTGCCTAAAGCTTTCCTCCCAGTTGAGGGTGGTGGATGGGAAGATGTGTGTGTGTGTGTGTGTGTGTGTGTGTGTGTGTGTGTGTGTAGGGGGGTGGCAGCCTCCAGGCCTCCTGTCCAGCCCTAGCCCTTCTGCTGCTAACACAGGAGGAACCCTTTATCTCGGGGCCTCCAGTCTCTCAGACGGGGCCACAAGCCGGACCCTGCACACACAGGTAACCTCAGATCTTGCCCCTGGAAAGCAGTTCTCTCCATCCTCGTTTCAGCCCCAAGAGTGGCCCTAAGGGGAGCAGCGAGGCTCAAGCACAGGGCTGCCAGTCTAAGCATTTATTGCACAGATGCTTGTTCCGGGCTGGGGAGGTGGAAAGGAGGAGTTCCCAAAGCTTTCCACAGATACGATTCAGTTCGGTGGAGGCTGCAGCGTGAGCAACAGGGACCTCACTTGAAAGGGAGAAAAGGTGAGCTTCAGGCGGTTGTCCCGCAGGGACAGGTGACCAGTAGGGTCTCGCTGCTCCAGGAGGTCACAACTGGATGGAGGAAAGGGGAGGTCGTAAGGGCTGACACGGGCAGGGCTCCCACCCCCACCTTTCTCGTCTCCACTCACAGGATGGCCTCCTGAACGGGCAAAGATGTGTACAGCCAGCAGTCCACGTGGCTGCCGTGGGCCTCATACAGCCTTAGAACCAGCGTGCGGTGCTGAGCGCTCTTCTCGGCCTGCGAAAGGAAGGCAGGGCAGTAGGCGGGGCCAAGAACCTGCGCATCCCAGGGACCTCCCTAGACTCTCCGGCCCCTTGCCTGCTTGATGGTCTCCAACACCACTGCTGGGGAAGACACAGAAAAGGCACTCCAGGTGGTGGCAGGTGCCGGGCCTGGAGCTGGCAGAGCCAGCAGGGGGAAGTTGAGGTTGTAGGCAGCATTGATAACACCAGCTTCTTGGAAGGAACCTGGGGAATGACCGGAAGAAAACACACGTGGACATGCGAGTTCCCCACAGTGCCTCTGGAGGAGCTATGGGGCTAGGCTGCCTCAGTTTACCCCAGTGCCTGCTGGAGGTTCAGGAAAGGGCAAGGAGGTATCAAGAGCAACAGAAGGGCCCCATCACCCTGGTACTTACCCTTGTGTGGCATCAAGGCATAAGTGAATTCATGGCGCCCCATGTCAGCAGTAACATCTGGGGCCTTGGGTGCACGCAAGCTGGAATGGGGAAAGGAAGGGCTGGAGTTCTCACACAGGAAGCCCCACACCACGCCAGCCCTGGGCCCGGCAGGCACTGCACTCACAGTGAGAGGCTGAGGACATTGCCCCGGACCGACGCTCCATACTTGCAGTTGTTGAGAAGGGCCAGCCCAAAGCCACACTCAGACAGATCTATCCAGCGGTGCGCCCACACCTGAAGGGCAGACCCAAGGCCTGTGGGTGGCTCCACCCCAACGCTCTTTGCAGTAGGAGCCCATGGTTGAATCCTAGCTGACCCTCAAGGAGCTTTGGGCACGCCATCCCACCCGTCTGCCCGCTTCCTCGGCTGTGAAATGCTAACAGTGGCTATGGGGTCACAGCAGAGAGAAGAAGCATTTAGCAAACGCCTGGCCCGTGGTAGAAAGCACAGTGTCCGGCATTTTCTTCCTCTTGCCCACAAACCACAAAAACTAGTCTCTCCTCAGTCGGGGATGAGTCCAAGTCCTACCCTTTCCCGCGTCCCCATGTCTGACCTCATATCGAGCCCAGTCCCAAGAGGTGTTATAGTGGGTAGGTCTCTGAAGGTGCCCAAACTGGATCTCATAGGTAGCCTGGGGGCTCCGTATGCGAGCAGGAAACTCCACCTTCAGGAACTTGTGGGCCTCATGCCAGTGTACCTGGGAGTGGAATGGAGTGCAGGGACAAGGGAAGGGCATTGGGTCTCCTCACAGCCCCATCTGGGAAAGAAGGCCACTACCCTGCCCCTTCTACCTCAGTGTGGAAGCGGACATAGGGGCAACCAATGTCCAGCACAACCTCCTGGCTGAGCCGACTAGTGGGGCTGATCTGCAGCAGAAACCAGGCACTGCCCCGAAGGCCACCTTCAGTGCCTACCGCCAGGGTCCCTGCCTGGCCCCGCACAGGCTTCCTGTGGGATGAAGGTGGGAAGCACTGAGCCAGAGCAGCATGTATCCACAACCACAAGCACCCCAGGACCTGCCCAGTACATACCGTGTCTCTAGATGATAATCCATGACATCCCACGCATCCCAGTACAGTGGTACATCATCGAACAGCACGAACTGGTTCCCCAGGGCACCCTCAGCAATGGCCTCCCTGGAAGGACATAGGGACGGGTGTGTCACAAGAGGATGACCTTGCTCTCTCCAGTCCTACTTGGTGGGGGCAGGTTAAACAGGGCCAGGAGCTAAGGGACTGCTAGCCCAGGCTGCCCTGCCCATGTGTGGGTCCCAGCCTAGACGAACTTGTAGACTACTTGGACAGTGTGGTGGCTAGGGCACAGAGGGAAGAGGGCAGAGTTCGGGATCTATTTGCCAGAATGGAGTTAAGAACAATGAAGGGTTGGCACCTGCCAGAAGCCACCAGGACCAGGGAAGTAAGGCAGCCAGTTGGATCCAGTCTCACCCGGATGATGCCATTGTCCAGAGTCACAGAACCATCAGTCTTGGATGGGAGAGTCCTTAAGCTGAGTTAGCTGTGTTCCCCGCCCCCAGCCCAGCCCTCTTAAAGCTGCGCATTACCCCGGCACCTTGGTCAAGACCAAGGAGCATCCCAGAGTAGACCCCACCCCATGGAGGCTGCTGGGACTTACCTCCTGCACCACAAACACAGGCTGCTGGGGCAGCAGAGGCTGCGGAGATGTAGGGCTGGGGGCAGGAGCATAGCCCACACTGGGCACTGTCACCAGGGCTGGGGACAAGGCCCGAGCATCAGTGTACTCTCTCTGACCGTCTAGAAACCTCACTCGGGTTAAGGACAGGTTGAATGGGACAGGATGCAGCTACTTCTCTTTTTAGATGGGGGTACCCCAAGATAGAGATCCCTGGGGGAGTATCCCTGCCACGTTGCCTAGCCTTGGTTCCTCCTGCTGCAAGACCAGCCCTCCCCTCCAGCTCATACCTAGGTTGTGTGCCCCACCGGGCTTGGGCAGGGTCAACACTTCAGTGCGCTTCCAGGGCAATGTGTTGATAATGAGGAGGCCCTCGGGACCTGGCTCCCCAGCACACAAGGCCGCAGCTGCAGTGCTGAGCAGTGTATTGCCATGGGAACGGATGTCTAAGGAGAGATGGGTTTGATCATGGGTAGGCAATGTGTTCCCTTGGCCCTGGATGGAGAACAGTGGGAACTGCTATGAAGTCAGGTCGGCCTCACCTTCATAGTAGTTCATGGCATCTTCTGCCACCAGCTGAATACAGCTTCCAGTCAGCACATCATGAAACTGGTTGAGGAGCAGGAGCCTGCAGACACCAAAGGCAGAGACAGGAAAGGCTGGGAGGGGCAGCCAACGAGAGGGTGAGAAGTCAGGTGAGCAGCAGGAAGGGACACCAGACTGACCTCCAGAGGTGCTCCAGCTGGGCCGCTGGGTATAGGAACTGGGCACTGCGGGCTAGGGCCAGGCTGCTCAGCAGCTCCACGTCATGAAGGATTTGCTCACATTCCCGATTCATCTTCTTGAGCTGTGCCCAGAGAGGAAGGACCAGCTTGGAGTTTGCTGTGACCAGGACACCTTCCAAAGCTCTCTCTTGCTCAGAACCCTTGACAGTCTCCCAAGGCCTCTTGGACATGGTCTTTCATAGGAAACTTACAAGTGGCCCCCCACCAGAACCCTCGAGAGGTTCTGTCCCACCCCCGGCCTGTGTGTGGGATTAACCCAGCTCTCTTTTTCAAGCACCTGCTTGGAGAAGGAGCCCACTGAGTCCCACCTCTGCCCCTTCCCACCCTTTCCCCACAGCCCTGTGCAGACCAAGGCCCTCTGTTTGCTAGGCTGGTAGCCTGACCCTGACCTGGGCATGGGTAGTGTAGGTGCCATTGTGCAGTTCCAGGAAGAGTTCCCCAACCCATGTGCACAGCTGCCCCGATTCTTTCTCCAGTGCTGTGAAGAGCTGTCCAGGAGAAGACAGCTGCACCCTGAGGAAGACCACAAGCCTGGGCTCCCAGCTGGGAGAGAGGGCCCCAACAGAGAAGACACTCCCTAGAAAATTCCCTGTAGATAGTGCTGCACTCTGGTGGGGTCAAGCCCCTTCCTACATCAGAATTTCCCTCCACCCTATCCCCAGAATGGAAGTCTGGAAGAATGATAGGCCAGGACTTGAGACACAAGGTCCAGTGGAGGGGCTGAGCTTCCTACGTAAACAAAGGGCAGACTCAAGGCAAGGGCTTGAGGGTAGGGCTACAGGAAGGTGGCTTGAGAGCCAAGGGCTGATGTTGGCTCAGGCCTGACCTGGGCAGCCCATCAGTATTGCCCAACCGCTTCAAGCGGTCCAGCATGGTCTGTGTGGGGCCACCACCGCCATCCCCGAAGCCGAAGAGGAAGCCACTGTGGTTGGTCCGCCCCTTGTCCCGGTTGTTGGTCACAGTCTTCAGCACCTAGATGGGGAGGGACAGGTCAGCACAGCACAGGATACCCAGCCCTCTCTGAATCCCCAGCACTATATATCCCCTCACCTCCTCCACACGGCCCTGCATTCCATATGAGTCTCCAGGTGGGAAGTG